TTTGGAATTTGCTTAGCAACTTAGTTTACTGTTTAGGTAGCTTAGGTATTCATTTTTACTGTTTAGGTAGCTTTGGAATTTTTACTGTTTAGTTTAAGTGTGCTGAACACATTTTTAGTTTTTCCAGTTAATACACAATAAAAAGCATCCTTGTGAATATCACAAATAAGCTTCAGTCTATCATACGTGAATAATTGATAAACCTTGATGATTGCAAATGCTCGCTGAATGGTTCAGATTTCATTGAAGGATGTGTGAAATTGAAGCTGGAAGATCTAAGTTTTTTCTTTTACTAAGCTGCAAGTCTGCTGCACTGATATCAGTTCTCACAAATCATCCACATATTAATAGCTGCAGTTCTTTCCTGGTTCTATCTTTCTTACACCATCTCTTTCAATTCTGTTCAAATTTTTGTAGTAGTTAATCCTAGTTTTTTGTTTCAGTTTCGTAAGCATTTAGTGATTTCCATTTTTCAGTTCTGTTTCTGTAATTGTTTTAATAGTTTAGCTTGATATATCAGAATTGCTTGATTGTGGTGTAATAGGACATAGAAAGTGCCTAGTTTTGTTTTGCATGATAGTAGTGTTCTAGAGTAGTTTATCAAGTGGCGCATGATAGCTATTTGGATTCTAGTATTCTTTTGCTGTTTTCAATCGGTAGAAATTAATTTGGGTAGTTTTAATTGATGTCTTGAGTTTAGCTAGTTGCAAGTTCTGTTTTACTGTTTTTAGGTAGTTTCTTAGGGTCATAGGGTCATATTTTAGATTTCATGCTTTCTTAAGTAGATAAATAGAAGTAAAATTAACTTAGTTTAGTGATTTTGAGTTGTGTGAAGTGTTAGTTTGCGGTAAATTCTGTTTCAAGTAGAAATTAGCCTTAGTGCAGTTTCCTTAGTTCCTTTTGACTGGTTTTAGTAAAATAGTTAGATTTTGATTTTCCAATAAATTGTAGTGGTTAGTTCAGTGTTTGGTAATCCCTTGGCATTTAGAACTTGTCTTGATTGTTACTTTCTAGTTTTATTTTCTGTTTGGCATAGTTTCTAGTTTTACTTTGTCTAACATGCATTTCTTAGGTTTATATATGTGAATTTTGAAGTTTTTGTTGTTAGTAGTGGTTAGAGTAAATTTTAGCATTCTTTCATCATTTAGAATTTGCTTAGGAACTTAGTTTACTGTTTAGGTAGCTTAGGTATTCATTTTCACTCTTTATAGCATGATGCTAGGTACTAGAGTTAATTTTAAGTAAAATTTTAGGTTTCTACTAGGCAAATTTCGAGTTTCCTGTTAATTGTGAGTTTTAAGTTGATTTGTATATTTCTTGTACCATTATAAGGCTGTGTAGGTAGTTAGATAGCAATTCCAATTTTCATTATAGTGTAGTTGTCGTATTTCTCAAATTTAGCCATTCTAGTTCAAGTTTTAGGTCTTCACTAGGAAGATTTTGAATTTATGGTATTTGTGAGTTGTGGCTTGGATTTTATATTTCTTTTGCCATTTAGAAGTTGTCCAAATAGTTTGATGACAGTTTCATACAGTAAGCTTAAAACATTTTTCAGATTTTGAATATTTAGTCTTTTGTTAAAAGTTATGAATGAAATTAATTTTTTTTATGTTAAATATATATCTAAAATATTTTATTTATAATAGAATAAATATAAATTAAATCAAATAAAATTTTTAAGGTCAAAGGAAGTGTTCACCAGATAATGAAATTTGGCTCATGTCACTAGATCCGGAGAAATTGTAGCAAATTTCTAGTTCTGATTTGAAGAAGGCGTATTTTAGAAATCCGGTTTTGTTGCAGTTTGTTGTTAACTGAATATTGCATTTCACCATATCTAGAGAAATTGTACTGGATTCAAGTTCCGATTTGAAGAAGGAATAGTCGAATTTTGAAATTTAATTATGTTAACCGTTACCGGTGCAAAAAGGACTTTAGACGTATGTTATTTTAGGCTTTTAACGTCTGATTTATGTTTGACGTCTATATGGGTGACGTTAATGAGACATCATACCCAATAGGTCAAACGTTTATATGGGTGACGTTAATGAGACATCAGATCCAATAGGTCAAACGTCTATATAGACGTCTGATCCATACGGACGTCTGACACTATAGATCTGACACTATAGATCAGACGTCTAAAATGTTGCCGTATTTGATTGCATCTTTTTTCACTTGTATTGGATGCTTTTAAAGCCGCCCCAGAATGCCGCCCAATGACACGAGCAAAACTGCACCAAAACCCAACGAAAACACATTTTAATTAGTTCAAATGAAAGATAATGCATCAAAGAATGATGTAATCGGAGTAAAATTAATTTAAAACGGTGCAAAAGTGAGAAATCGAACCTGAAAAACGTAACTCGTACAGAGAAAATCGAGGAAGATGATGAACATTAAGTGCGTGTAACTCCTGCCTCGCGTTCGCAGTGTTTTAATGCACCCATATAAAAGTCGGTTCCCCATCAAACATTTATATGGCTGTAGAAGTCGGATTGACGGGATCAGACGTATAAATGGAGTTAAAAAGTAACTTTTTAGATTTCAAAAATAAGTATATAGAAGTCGATTCCCCCCACATCAAACGTCTATATAGCTGTAGAAGTCGGATTGGTGGTATCAGACGTCTAAATGGAGTTAAAAAGTAACTTTTAAAACTTAAAAAATGAATATATAGAAGTCGGTTCCCCCACATCGGACGTCTATATGGCTGTAGAAGTCGGATTGGCGGGATCAGACGTCTAAATGGAGTTAAAAAATGACTTTTTTGATTTTAAAAATGAGTATATAGAAGTCGGTTTCCCCCACATCGGACGTCTATATGGCGCTGTGGAAGTCGGATTGGTGGGATTTGACGTCGCTGTGGAAGTCGGATTGGTGGGATTTGACGTCTAAATGAAGTCAAAACGTGACTTTTGATTTAAAAAATGAGTACATAGAAGTCTGCCCCCACATCAGACGCCTATATAGGTGTTTTATTTACGGAAAATGTCATCGGTCATTTTTTACGTTGGATATTCGAAGGTCAGACATCTAAAAGATGACGTTAAAGGTCTTTTCTGCACTAGTGCGTATTAGAAAATGGAGTTCTTCTTACTAGATTTTGAGATTCGGTTTGATTGTTGAATAATATAATATTCAAACTTTATAGAATTTTGAAATCTCATAGTTTTTGTTTCTCGGATCACGAAATGGGGTGGATACCGAAATTAAGAAATCTGATTTGTATTGACAGGATGTAGTGAGGGGACCGGAACACATATTTCGGTGTGTATTTTGAAATTTTTATGTTATTTTCTTCTCTGTTTGCTTTACAAATTTTCATGTCAATGATATCTGATTGTTCTCTTTTGGTTGAGAGGAGATAAGGGTGTCAGATTGGGGAGTCAGGGTGAACGAAGAAGAATGAACAGGTTATTTATTTAAATATTTAATATATAATAATGAGGGGCAAAATCGGAATAATGGAAATATTTGGGTGTGGGAAGAAAGCTATAGGGTGCAGGAATTAACCCTCCTCTGGTATGTATCTTGAATGGGCCCATACACAGAAGGCCCGTTTTATGTCAACAAGTTTGACTAAGGTGAAGGTGAAGTGAGGTGACTGTAGGGGACATTTGACAACTGTGCCACCAAATTGCTTCTTCTTGGGTCTTCTTCACCCTTCCTTTTCACCTTCTTAGGGTTTGCTTCAGATTCCCCCAATTTTTGCTTGTGCATGCGCTTTCACTAGATTTTGTTCAACATGACTCAAGATCTCGAGATGAAGGATCGCTCAATACCTTCCAACTCCGTTTCTTCACCTGCTCCGTCTACTCTGCAGCGTAAGCAATTTTTCTCTAACAACTTCCTCTGTTCCGATTTTGCAGTTCTTCAAAGTCGTTTCAGTTTTTCATTTTTTTGAATTGTGGTTTGTCTCGCAGATTTGAGGGAGATAGCGTCGCTTATCGAGACCGGTTCGTACTCGAAGGAAGTCCGTAGAATTGCTCGTGCTGTTCGCCTTACAATTGTGTTGAGGCGTAAATTAACATCGTCGATTATCTCGTCTTTTCTTGATCATGTGTTCACTCCTGGTTCTGAAGCTCATGCCAAATTGTCTGCGTATCTTCCCAAGGTGAACTTCAAGTTAGATTTAGGGGTTGTTCATGTTGAAAAGGACTTGTATATTTTGTGCATATTAACCTGATTTGAATTTTGAGGTGGACGATTCTGAGTAGTATTTTTTGGTCCATTTAATTCAAAATCTAAATTATGATGCCGACGAAGTTGATGATCCCTCTAAGAAGGCATCCGTTGATTTAATTGCATGGTTGAAAATTTTGCATAATTTAACTTCTAATTAACTGGATAGTGGATTTGGGTCAATTAGTGTATTTCAATGATTTTTTGAGTCACAATGTTAGCACTGATTGTGTAGGAGGATGATCACGAGATGGAAGTGGATGCCGCAACTTCTGCAATTCAAACTCCAGCTAAACACTTGTTGCCCGAGCTAGAAATCTACTGTTACCTTCTTGTACTACTTTTTCTGATTGATAAAAAAAAATACAATGAGGTCAGCCCCCCTCTTTCAATTTTGCAATTGACAAGTGATACTGATTATATATTGATGATTCTTCTACCTATTTAGGCCAAAGCCTGTTCCTCAGCTAGCATTGTTTGGCTGAAGAACACAAACAGGAGAACTGTTGATGTTATTGCATCCAGACTGTATTTTTATTATTCATATAGCTATGAGCTTACGGGAGATCTTGCTGAAATCCGTGGGTGAGTTAGGTGCTAATTTATGTAATATTTGAGAGAGGTTGAAGACTGAATTATATTTTTAAGTGATTTTAAATTTTGAAATTTGTTTTCAGCAACCTCCTTGCATTGCACCGAATTGCCACCCTTCGCCATGACGAGTTAGGCCAGGTTTGTTTTCACTTTAGCTTTTTGACGTAAGGGCTTATGATCCTTACCAGAGTTCGGTAGTTGTTACCACAAACTCAACCAAGCACATATTTGATAGTTATTATACATTATAAATTCTCAATTAATATGCGCAGTGATATGCAAACAATTAGTTTTTTTAAAAAACAAAATTCTGTTGTATTTATTCATGTAGCAAAGTAAATGTTCCCCGCATAAACTGATCAGTAACACAATTTATGCAAAGTGCTTATTATCTTTGCTAAATTGCTATAGTTCAGTAGTTGTTGTTACAACAAACTCAACCAGGCACATTTGATAGTTATTATAGCTTCTCAATTGATATGCACAGTGATACGCAAGTAGTTAGGGTTTTTAGTTTTTACTTAAAAATTCTGTTGTATCTAATCATGTACATGCAATAAATGTTACCTGCATAAACTGATTAGTCTCACAATTTATGCAAAGTGTTTTATTTTAAATTTATCTGTTAACTGTTGATTCATTGCAGGAAACACTTCTTAATTTGTTACTCCGTAACTACCTTCACTACAATCTATATGATCAAGCCGAAAAGTTGAGGTCTAAGGCTCCTCGATTTGAAGCGCATTCAAACCAACAGGTATGATGGTTCTGTTATCCTCAGCATCTAAGTTTTGATTTGTTTTGATTTTTTTTTATTTAATTTTTTTTATAAATTTGGGTAGACAAACCTATCTATTGCTCATCAATGTGGTGATAAAGACCTTGTGGAGGTCCTCGATAATGGTGATATTGTTGTTTATGTAGTCTAATTTATTGTTGTTAAATTTTTTTTATCC